ACAAACACCTGCTGATGTGACAGGCACAAGCTGGTATAGAAAACATATTTGAACTTGGTCAAAGTTCATTCTGCTGCAGGCAAAGCCATGCTGCAATCACATGCTACGTGGCAATGCACACTTGTTTTTACATGGTAAAAACCCATGTCTAGTTGATGTCTGAGATTATTTGGCCCAGACCAAAACAAGGCAACAAACAACAGAACTGTCCTTCCCAAAAATGTAAAATGTTTGTCCATCCTTTATTTTATTTTATCTGATTCTTTTCTTTTTATTTCGTGTCTTTGTTTTTTTTTTCAAAGGTTGAATTTACTGACGTACACACTGGGTTAACGCTTTATGCCACTTACTGCTAATAACTAATGTGTGGCCTCAAAGAGCTTAATTAGAAGTTTTGACTGTTTAATTTTTATTTTTTATGCCATTTCTCTATTTCAAGTTTTAATTTGAAGGTTTCTTAAAATGTGGAAGGATAAGGTATGTTCAAAACAAACTTAAAAATGTTTATCTTATTTTTCTTATCTGTGTTGTGTTTATTAACTGTTTTAAAGTCTTTGTTGAGTAAAGGTTTTATGTTCCAGAGGGTCAGTGTGGGATTCGTCAAAGCTCAGTTAGCTCACAGTGAACTCATTGTTGTCTGCACAGCACCACTACACAACTGTTGACACCTGAGACATGAAGGCCAGGCATGAAGCTGCAGTGAACTGCAGAAACTGCAGGTTGTATCTTTGTTCACAACATCTGCAGACAAGTCTGAAACAAAGAGGAGACAGGGACTGTCCTCTCTGTCCTCTCTGTCCTCTCTGTCCTCTCTGTCCNCTGTCCTCTCTGTCCTCTCTGTCCTCTCTGTCCTCTCTGTCCTCTCTGTCCTCTCCTGGTCTGTAGAAACAAGTCTCAGTGTTTCAGAGGACTTTATGTGAGAAGTGTCTGATCAGGGCCTCAGGCAGAAAGGAGTGCACAGCTTTCACAGTAAAGGTTAACGTACGGACAAATTTAGAAAAGTGCTCCACACCAACATATTCAGATGTATCAAACTGTGCACACGCAGGTTCCTGCTCACCTTTCCTTTATACGTCCTAATGAAGGTGGAGCTGAGACACCTGAGACTCCTCCCCCTGACACGCCTCCATTTAAATCTGTAAAACAGATGTAAATGTGTCCAGGTGTGAGATTCTCCTCAGATTGTCTCTCTGTGGGATCAGACATGAGTTTACATGCAGGAAAATTATACATTAAATGGAGAATGAGTGAGAAAACTGTCTAAATAAGGAGTGGGGTAACATTGTTTTATGTGGTGCATTCACACAGGATAACCAAAGCCTGAGATTTTCCTGAAATTTACAGACATCTCCTGAATGTGATGTTGAAGCCTGGTTAGTTGTTGTCTATTTGGTTGAACATGGTGTTGAACGGACGTAAAAAAAAAAAACAACAAACATCATGTTATCCACTTTTTCCGCTCTCCTTTCCTCCTGCGTTACAGCAGCACTGTCATCTCCACACACAGACCCCCACCCCACCCCCACCAGTGGGTACCAGTGGTAGTCTACAGATTTTTATCTAAAGTTATAGATTTTTGAGGCTCATTAGACGGTAAATGTCCAAAGGAGTTGACACATATGAACA